CAGACTAAAGATGCAGACATTTTTTTTCTCATCCTGAACAATCCCTCATTTGCCACCGTGATTATCGCGTTGACTGGTGCACATAAACACCGTTAACGATCTCATTAGAGCGGCCAGAAAAATGCCCCACAACCGATCTCCTGTGCCATGGGCACAAGCCCATTGCTGGAGGGCAAGGCTAATCAGAGGGCAGGACCTTGTGAGGCAATCTTGATCAGAAAATGGTAAAATCACCAGCCCAATCGATCTCTGTAAGGATCACCTTCGTGCACCTTCTGAATTGGAGTCTGCCCTGTGCAAATTTGCAGCCTGCATACCGGACGCCAGTACAAATTCTTCTCTGATCTGTAAGCAACTGAACTCTGGTATAACCACCGCTCCTCAAGATCTTCAGCAGTAGCAAGTCATCCACGTCAAGCACCGAAACGCCTTTTCTTTCAATCTCAAATGTCGGCAAGGAACATGAACTGTTTCTGTGAGCACCCTGCTGGAAAAAGCCATATGTGCCAAGGAAGTGGTTACAGCACATTCGTGTAACTGGAATGGATCTGCGTGAGTTGCACATCATACGCCTCATTTGTCACTGACACATCATCATGCATGCTGAAGGTGCGCGTGATTACATGTAATGACATGGAACCCATGTACATGGGTTCCATGTCCACCAACTTGGTGACCATTGAAGTGGCGTCACAGAGCAAAGCTCAAGTCATCACAGGGAGCCCCTGACACTGAGCGATGGCTCTTTGCTCTCTCTTGCAAACGTGAAACTTTACATGACCAACTGCAGACCTTCTTGCTTGCCAGTGACTTGGCTCAGGAAGACACTGATATATAAAGTCATGTCCAACAACACGACAGATCTGCCATTGGAAGTTTCAATTTCTTAAAAGTCAGCATAGCACTCTTCTGTATGGTCCTGTACCTCCAAAGCATGCTGCTGTATAACCTTCTCAAAGCATGGGTGATTCCAGCTATATATCGTTATCATCCTCAGAAGCGCATGCAGAAGCCTGCTCCAAGTAATACTTGTAGACTGGTGGAAACCTACTGTTGTCCCATACACACACTCATCTGTCTCCAATGTTGGCAGGGAGTGGCGCAGGCTTTGTGGGCAGCTATCTCCAGGATAAATCTAGCTATCTGCAGTTGCTCACACATGAAATGCTACTTTCCACTCACTGGGCAAGAGTTCCCGGGGCCGCCAGGAGCGCCAGATCAGGCTTGATTGGGGAACAGCTGGTATTATATCCCCGGCTCAGTGGTGGTGGGGGTCCACGATGCTGATGCGGCCGCGGCCGCCGTCCAGGTCAACGAGGAGGTAGTAGTACTGCCACTGCTTTGCATCGTCCTGGTACATGTCTGCACTCACGCGCCCCTTGCCGCTCGGGCCCCTCGCTATGAACTGCACCTGCAGCAGCGCAGCATCCCCAGCCAAATCAGACACATTAAATTGTTGATGACGCCTGCGAAATTCGGGAACAGGCTCCTACCAGCCATGCATGGGTGGACCGAGGCATGATGGGCTCAAGTCAGAGAACTAGCTGCGTGCACTTTGCCCTTGAAGTGACCAACATCTTGCACGACAATCACCCATCAAAGCCCAGCTGAGAATATCGGCACCTCAAGCATGCACCAGGATCAAAGATGGGAATGAAAGAGTGCTCCAAATCTGCGCAATTGAGGGCAATTGAGGGCAGAGACCACTCCTTCAGACGTTGACCGGCACAGGTATGGGGCCGCTTGCCTGCACATGCTCGCGGCCCTTGTCGTCGTTGTAGACGCGGTTGGGGATGCGCTGGCGGGCGGCGCGGTTGTGGGACTCCTGGCCATATCCGGACACGGGTGTGCCCAGCGTGACCATGATGCGCGGGTCGTCGCGCAGCTTGTCCAGCGTCAGGTTGAATGCCGTGTACTCCCGCGGCTGTATCAGCAGCTCGTTCACCACCGCCCACATCACCGCGCCTGCAGCCATGCAGCAGCAGATGCTCAACTCGCCTGTCTCTCCAAATGTTGCTGGTTGCCACATACCCAGGCCTCTGCATGCTCAGAGGCATTATTTACAACCAGAATTGCACCAGCCACCCTTTTCTTGTCACAATCCCAGAAGACAGGTGCCACCTTCCAGTTGTGGTACCCACGTTCAATGCTAGCGATGTGACATGCATGAAGGAAGCGTGTGGGTCATGACAGACAGGTGTGGGGAGCATTGGCACGTAGTAAGACTGAAGGGCTCTATACCGATCACAGAGTGCACCACTAGGCATATTGACAATCTTAGACAATTTAAACAGGCATGTGGCGTGCCAGGGGTAGCTGCTGCATGAGTAACCAGAGGCGAGTGATCCAATACCTGCCATGGCTATGGCGGCAATGATGATGACTGTGTAGGATGTCCCTTCCACCACACCCATCGGCCGCTGTGGAATTTGATCCGTGATGGCATCGTCAGCCTCCTCCTGTGCTGTCAGATCGCTCTTGCCATCCTGCCCTCCGCTGCTGCGCTTTGATCCAGGCCCCTCCTCGGCTTTGGAAGCTCCAGCCGCTACTGAGAGGGGCCTGACTGCAAAGCTGCTCTGAAAGACGCCCTGCATGAATAGCAGGTTCACTTAAGGCTCAAAAAGGACATGCAGTTGCGTATCAGCTTTCACAGGAGTACCAGTCCATACACTAGCTTAATGTTTATTGAAGCAATAACAGCATTTGATTTTCGAGCACATCATGACCAGAAGACATGAGCCTACTTTGCTTGCGTTCCTCGTGCAAACAGACACTTTCCAACACTTAGGCCACCAAATGCATCCTGCCAAGACGATCTTCTTTAGCCCTTACCAATGAATCTCGCTGGGGTAACTCTCGAAGGAGAGAGGGCAGTGCTGAGCGTGCGAAGGCATCTATTCCTACATTCCAGTTGCTTTCGACCGCTGCCCGGCAACACGATTGAGACACGCTCTGTAACAACCTTGTGGCAATAACAGGACCTCGTAAGCGTGACATGGCTACAGGAATCCCTTCTTGGTGTACCACGTGCTTTTCAGGACAAGTTCCAAACAACAGTCATCAGAACAGAGCAGGAGTCAGCCAAACAATCCTGCCACTCAAGGTCCACTCGCAGAGCACCTCCGACGATGTGAGAACGCAATTCTGCATCTGGTCTTTCACATGTTATGTCTCCATTGCCCAGGCGAACAGTGCAAGCCTTGAAGGTACGGTCCAAGATCGGCCCAGTCAGCAGTTCCCGTAAAAACTAGTCGATTCTTGTGTTCTTGTGTTTGTGCTCTACAGAGCAATCGGCAATAGCACTAGCAACCTTTCTGCCGCTTAATAAATACTCGAACATCGTGGGGGGTTCCTATGCGCTGAGATTCTGAGGATTTTTTGGGTCATGAGCAGTTGATGGAGTCCGTGACTTGCTAGAGAAAAGCATGAACGTCACACGGCAGGTTCTCTCAGTCATCACAGTTGGAATTTGCCTGCTGTGCCTACCATATCCTGCCCGATGTGGCCAACTGTGGCCCCTACCATTGAACCAGGTATTGCCAGAACACCATGCCGCACCAAACGATATGGGTGGAGGATCTGCACCTTTCCAACTGACCGAAACTCGATGTGTCTTCACGAAATGTTGGTCGAGAATCATCTGCAGTGGATATTTGGTTGGCTGAAGGAAAGCTGGGTTCACTGCAGTCCACCAGCGACAGAGTCCTCTTCCTGGACATAGACAAATTTCACTTCAAGAGCATTGGCTTCGACAGTGACATACTACAGCGAGCATTTGACAGGTTTGCACCTGCCAACAATGCGGGGCATGCACACTTGGCCGCAGTTCCTATCGCACAAAACACTGAGGCGAGTAGCTGTGCAGGTATGAGGACATCATATTTGAAACGGCAGCATATGTGCCACGGAGCCACAGCATGAAGGAAAAGGCGGAGCTGGCAGATAAAGGCATTCACAGGCTGAAAGTCTATGTAGCTACAAATGACCAGAGCCTGAACTTGCAGACGGATGAGAGTTATGCACTCACTGTGTCAGCCCCAACGAGCACTTTGGAGGTGGGCACTGCAACTCCAAGAATTTGCACATCAGCTTTGGCCTTCTGATCGCGTTGGTACACTGCCTATATCTTTATCGAAGCAGCCATCAAACACCAGTGATTATTCACACAGCACAAGTTGTTGATTGTTCCTGTTCTGTGGCAGGCAAACTCAGTGTATGGCGCGCTGCATGGTCTGGAGACATTCTCACAGCTCATTGACCGCATGGACAACTGCTGCACCCGGGCGACACCACCTGATGCAGAGGAAGGTGGAGACATTGAAATGCCCCACTTGGGCCCAGCGTTTGCACAGGGCCCTGCAGGAATGCAGAGCACTCGCAGGGTGCTCTCCAAGCACACTGGGAAGAACACTGGCGGCCAGGGCGCCCGAACAGAAAGCAGGCCGGAACAAGATGAGCTGAGCCAGGAGCTGCAGCAATTTGTCCTTGACATCCAGGGTCTGGCGGATGTCCTCTACTCGTCTCCACCAGAGGGCGGCCTGGACTGGGATTATGATGAGCAAGGCCCCATCACCGACCAGCTCGACAAGTCATCAGACATGGAGGACATGTTTGAAGATGAGGAGGATGCCTTCGAGGACGGTTATGTCAGCGAGGATGACGTCAGCGATGACGATGAGAGGGACGAAGATGGTGGTGCGGGGCTGGGGCGCCACCACAAGAAGCACCACCACAAGAAGCATCACAAGAAGCACCACAAGAAGCGCAGGGACCACAGCAGGATGTACCTGATCAATGCCACTGCCATCTTTGACCAGCCGCGCTTCCCACACCGCGGCCTCCTCATCGACTCTGCGCGCCACTTCTTGCCCCTATCTGTTATCAAGGTGGGCCAGCTGAATGAGTGCAATGCCGGGTATGTGATTTGATCTACGACCGTATGCATGCCCTTCCAGCAGCACTTTATCAGAAAGCTACTTCACAGAGAGAACAACAGTTAGGCGAGTTTGGCTCAGTTGGGAGAGCGCTGGACTGAAGATCTAGAGGTCCCCGGTTAGATCCCGGGAAGTCGCACACACAATTTCCTTTTGCATTCTACTTTTGAGATTCAACACAGGAGTCATTGAAAAGAAGACTGTGTCAGAGGCCCCATGTTCTGGCTGCAAACACAGTAGCCGCCTAGGCTTCGGGTCTGCTCACGCCATAGTGCTTTGTTTGCAGGACAATTTGGAGGCGATGGCGGCCGCAAAGCTGAATGTGCTGCACTGGCACATCGTGGACGACCAGAGCTTCCCATACCAGTCCAACACACTCCCACGCCTGGCCGAGTATGGCGCCTTCTCGCATGCGCACATATACAAACCTGCGGACGTTCTCGACATCGTGAGCTTTGCACGTGACCGCGGCATCCGTGTGATCCCCGAGTTTGACACCCCAGGTGCGCGCTTGCATGTTTCCGGCCGAAGTTAGGATCCTGAGCCGCCTTGCTCCACGAGGATGCACTGCATGTCTGCGACTCGCATTACTTGTGCTCCAATGCTTGCAATCTACAACTCATCGCGAGCACATTCATGGAGCCACAGCTGCTGCATGGATGCAAGCACGACTGGCAGAATGTGATTGGCTTGCAAAACACAACGGCGTGTGCGAATTTATAGGGGTTGTTCAGTGAATGGCGGGCACCTTGTGCAAGGGCGGGGGCTTGAGATCAGATGATGTTGACGTGCGCGCAGGGCACACAGCGTCATGGGGGAAGGGGTATCCAGGTCTGCTGACCGACTGCTACAACGCGGAGGAGCAGCCGACCGGCGAGAAGGGGCCCATCAACCCAGTGCGCAATGAAACATACGCGCTGCTGTGGGCTTTCCTGCGTGAGGCCGCCGGCCTCTTCCCTGACACCTATATCCACCTCGGCGGCGATGAAGTGCCCTTTGACTGCTGGCAGGTGCGCCCAACCCACTCCATGCACCCTTGATTGTACCGGACTCCGGTAGATTCCCATGCTGAACCTGTGAAGCCTTCAATGTGCACGCCGATGTCTTCCACCACCTTTCACGCGTCCTGTGAGGGGCAATTGTCCTCCACAAGGCATCTGCCCTTTATCAAAGGCACGCAAATCGTGGAATCGGCATGAAGACCGTTCTGGTCGATTGCTCTCGTGAGAAGGGATTGATGTTGAGGATTGGTCTGTGCTGGGGTGCTGGTGCAGAGCAGCCCAGAGATCAGGGCATGGATGAGGGAGCACAATGTGAGTTCCATCTCGGGGCTGGAGACCTACTTTGAGGAGCGAGTGCTTGCCCTGGCCAGCGCGGCCGGACGCTCCTACATCGTGTGGCAGGTGCGCCAAGCTCCATGCCTGCGGCAGACTGCTGCCCTGCTACCTGCAGAAGCTACCCTCTTACACTCTTCTCAGACCAAGGGCCTCACCAGTCCATGCCTGGTAGTGGCCAATCATGCAGGCCTGTTTGGCCACTTTGTGTCTCAGCAAAGTTGTAGCCGGGTAGGTATGAGGCCAGGTCAGACTGTACGGGTCATCAATTTGCCCTGTGATGCACAGGAACCTCTGGACAATGGTGTGAAGCTGGACAGCAACACGGTGGTGCACGTCTGGAAGTGGTGGTGGCCGGTGTCGGCCGGCGCGGCTGTGGCAGAGGGTGATGTCGGCGGGAGCCAGCCGCAGAGTGCGGGCATGTGCGAGCTGTCCAGCGGCTGCAAGCCGCCACCTGGCATCCAGCTGGACGCCGCGCCGACTGGGTGGACCAATGAGATACAGCGAGTCACCAGCAAGGCGCGCCCACACCTTGCGGCTCCTCTGAGCACCTCAGCTGCTCTGTCTTTGCAGCTGCCTTGCCCCTATGAATGAACGAGCGAGTGGCTGCATTCACGCTGATCAGACTTGATGCGGTGGAGCATTGAGCTTTCAAGCATGCTTGGAAGCATCTTGCTGCTTGCATACTGAGAAAGCGCTGTGTTATCTGAGCAGGGTTATAGGGCGCTGTTGAGCAGCCCCTGGTACTTGAACCTGGGCCCGTACGCTGGCGAGGCCTGGATTGACTACTACACAGTGGAGCCTTTGGAGTTTGATGCCACTCCTGCCCAGGCATCTCTGGTTATTGGCGGAGAGGTCAGCCCTCATCTGATTTTGCCTGCCTCATCCAAATACTCATCTGATAGAGGGGTCCAATTTTGGTGTTGGCCAGCTCAGCTGATTACACAACTGGCACAATGGGCCCATTTGATAGTCCTGCTGCACAACCAGTTTTGCTCGGCAGCACTTCGATTGCCAGCTCAGCTAAATGCCTGCGCACAGTGGTTCAATATCTTCCTTCTGCTAGATTGTTGTTCCGTCCCCGGCATACTGAAATTTTGGGTTGTGGTCAGGCGTGCATGTGGGGGGAATGGGTGGATGGGAGCAACCTGATGGAGAGGACATGGCCGCGCGCGGCCGCCGTGGCCGAGCGCCTCTGGTCGTCCCGGGATGTCAAGTGCGCCTCTCTCTGAGCTCGCATACTGCCAGCTTCTGTTTTTGATGGAGCTGGCACAACTGTGTGACATGATGCTGGCAGTCTCCAGATTGCAGCTCCTTTTGTAGTGAGCAGCAGCCACAGCAGTATGTACAGATGGTCTCTTCGATGCTCTTGAACTTTTCTTATGGAGTTCCTTTGCCATAAGGAACCAGTGCGCATCTCTGACATGGCTGTCAAGCATGCGGCCTGGCTGCCGGTAGGAGATGATGCCTCTCCATTGCTATTGGAATGTTTTGGAACAGGGTGCGCTGTTGGACTGTCTGACACTTTTTGTGGGCAGGGATGTGGATGCTGCTCGGCCACGCATTGCTGAGCACCGCTGCAGGATGCTTGCCAGGGGCCTTGCTGCATCGCCAGGCACCGGCCCCGGGTATTGCCCACAGGATGCCTACCTCTGATGTTTGGAAACCATGGAGCCATGCAATTGGGCGTGGCCCTACGTGCATTGGGTGTGTTGACAGTTGTTTTTAAGCGAGTCACAGTAGAAATCTGGTGTGTCTCTAGAGTGCACGGAGCCATTGCTCAATGTCAGGGGCTCCATGTGATGACTTGAGCTCGCTCTGTGACGCCCACTTCATTGGTCTTGGTGGTCATGGAAACCCATGTAATTATTTATTATTATTATTATTACACGTTTTCCAGTCCTTATGGACTAGGTACGTCTAGCAGCACCTTTATGGCAGCCCTCCATTCATCTCGGTTTTTGCATTTTCTCCGCCAGTTATATGGCAATCCTATGGCTTCCAAATCATCCCTGACATAATCATTCCAACCCTTCATAGGTCTGCCCCTGGTCCCCGTTCCCGATATGGTACCAAACATGAATTGTAAGGGCAGTCTGGTGTCACCCATCCTAGCCACATGTCCAAGATACCTCAGCCGCCTGTATCTAATCAAATTTGCAACCTCTGGAATATCACATTGTGCTCGTGTAACTGCATTTGGTATCCTTTCTAAAAGGCTTATCCCCAATATCCTCCGCAAACATCTCATTTGAAATACCTCGAGTTTTCTGATATCTTCATTGGTGACTGCCCATGTTTCACAACCATACAGCAATGTTGACTGAACAATGACTTTGTACAATATAACTTTTATCTTGAGAGATATGTTTTTATCTTTCCAAACTTTCAATCTGCTCAGCTTATGGTATGCCCCACCTGCCCACCTGCCCTACTGATGTAATTATTTGCACCTTCAGCATGATGATGAGTAAGTGATTTTATGGGACAGTTGGCGTGCAAGTCACAAAGATGCATTCCAATTACATGCGCCATACTCACCAGCACCCTTGGCACATATGGCTTTTCCTGCAGGGTGCTCACAGAAGAAGGACATGATTCTCTCCCGACCATTGAGGAATTGCTTTCCTTGAGTCAAAACTATGATGCGGCTGCCCATCAGAATCTAATTTGCTGCAGACCGGCTCTGGAGGCACTGTTCACTGGTTCACTTGCCATTTGACGAAATTAACTTCACATGGATGCATGCCCCAGGTTTTTCATCTTTGGGGTATGACTCTCTCAATTTCATACAAAACACCATGCTGCCGTGAAGATGAAATACTATTAAATAATTTCGGGTCGTGTCACCCTTCTATATTATAAACTGCCTCTTCCTCTCTCGGCCTGATACTAGCTGCATCACATGATCATCAATGCCCAGAGCGCCAATACACCAAGAAGGTGCATGCGCATCAGAAGCAAATGGCTGACAGGGCTGTTGTGGCAGCCAGCACTTCGACAGCGGCGGCCACAGCGACATCCACAAGAGGCCTGATCGCTGTTGGCGTCTTGGCCTGAAACCGACCGCACAGCAGCAGTGCCCATCCCGTGAGGCCCCTCGGCCATTGCTCTATAATCTCAGCAGCCTCCTTTCCCTCATTCTGGGCCTGAAGCAACACAGGACCGACTCAGAACAGTCTATGCAGCAAAAACAATCATGACACATGTAGTGGTGCAAACACTACCTGGGACATGCAGGACATCGGTGTTGCAGGACACAGTAACACAAACACAAAGTGGTGCATAGATCGCCAACAACAACAATTGGTAGTCCATGGGAAATCGTCTTAGAACACGCGATTAGATCACAGATGAAGCCGAACTGAAGGATAACGATGAGGTACCTGGCTTGTGCTGTGGCTGCTGCCCGTTGGCGATGGCAGAGGCACAGGAGAACAATCTGTATGGGCGTCGAAGTCTGCCTTGAGCTGCTGCTCCTCGGACTCAGTCAGTGGCAGGGTGGGGGCCACATCAGCAGGGCTCTTGCTGGCATCACTGGAAATCAGCCCTTCCCGTTGCGGCTCTGCGGTGCAAAGGGCCTCGTCCAAGACCTGCCAATAGAGTACAGCCACAGTCAGAACAATCCACATGGCAACTCAGCCATGACATGTTGTTGCTGCAGGCAGTCATGTAGGCAGGGATGACATCAGCGAAGAAGAACATGTACCTTGTTGTCTGATGTGCTGCCTGGTGGGGAGGTTGGAGGCACAGCAGCTGTTGATGTTGCGGGCAGAGCAGCTGCTGGTGTCGGGGCCACAGCTGA